AAAGCTGGATGACTACCCAAGCAACGCGACACAAAGGCTGGGTCGTTCAAGGACAAGCAAGGAGTGTGGCACCAGCGCCTCGTTCGTCGATCTCTTTCTTTGCAGCATTGGCCTACTCCGGAGAGATCGTTTTCTTGCGTACCAACATTGGCAATAGTACAGGCGAGAGTTCACAGCGCTATTTGGAGGGCACAATCTCTGCCTGGCGAAAAAAGTATGGCTCAGGTCTTCTGGTCGTGACCTGGGACAATGTGCCACATCATTATAAAGCTCTCAGTCTCATGTCCGGCTCTCATGGTGTTGAACATACGAAAAAGGTGTTTGTGCGCGCCTCAAGCACAATTCCAGAAACTGATGAGCGCTACTCACCGCTCATTTACTATGAGTTGGATCGTGAGCTGTACGGTGGTCCGGTTCTTGTTGTCCCAACGCCAAAATACCAGCCCGACTTCGCTCCCATTGAGACCGTTTTTGGTTCCGTCAAATATGCTGCAGAAGGCATTCGCGCGCGTTCATCAAGCTTTGGCTACACGCGCCTCTCAGAGAGGCTCGAGAAGATTCTCAACGTTGTTTTTGGATCCTACCTGAGAAAAGATATGTTGAAAGGAGCAATCCGTGACACACACAGGTACATGAAAGCCTGGCAGGATGGCGCCGTAAATGAAGATGAGGCTCGAGCTCGCCGCGACCAGCTACGCATTCGTGACAAACAAGACTATGACCAGATCAGGGCTGCAACTGGCGGAATCTTGAGACACAGGCGTGAATCCTTCGAGCTCGCGCCAATCATGGACATGGCTGTCGACAACTCCCGAACTCGCCGCCAGACTGCTCGAGCCGTTGCCGCCAGCCAAGAAGACGATGCTAACGTGAATGACTTTAAATCTACATGTGAAAATAAGCGGTTGCTACTACAACGTGACAAAGCTCAGGCTCGAGCTCGCCGAGCAGCATCAGCTGCTTTGCGCAGCTCAAATTGAATGATCCTCGCGATTTCATCACCGAAAAAAATTGAGTGTTGCTTACGATTTCGAAAGGAACAGTTGTGATTGTTTTGCAGTTGCTCATGACTTTTTGATATCATGCCACGACTTTGTTACCATTTGTCACGATTTGCTTTGACTTGGGCATAACCTTGTGATTCTGTTTGAGACTAGTTAGTAGGAGGGGATGTATTCCCATCTGGTCACCCACGATAGTACTAGCATGGCCCAACATGGCTTAACTGCGGCGATCGGACGAGAGCCGGTGTATTCCATGTGGTATGACCGTTGGCGATAAACCAACGACATAAGTTTGAATATAAAGATCTTTTTCAATGTCTTCCTGCCAAGTCATGGCACCTTGAAGCCCTTCCAAGCCTTGGAACCACGCCTGCAGGCATGGTGACGGCTTCAAATTGGGGTTGCTAACATTGTCTCTGGCATCCGCCAGGGCGCCGTGTTCCAAGAGAATTGTAACCACCTTAGCGTGGCCTAGGTACAGGGCTCTCTCACCAGCCTGCAAGGGGACAGCAAGCCAGTCGTGCGCAACATTTTGGTCACGCCAGCGAACACTTCCTTCAGGTTAGGGAACCGAGTAGAGCCTGGTGGGGAAACGCTGGGGCTGGAGAGACAGGAGGGCATGCTCCAGTCTACCGTAACAATAGCAGGAAGATAAAGGACTGAGTCAGTTTTGGCTGTTAGGATCTGCACCACGATTCAACAGAACCTTGACTACCGGGACAAGGCCGTGCCTGGAAGCAACGTGCAGCGGAGTATCGCCCTTCACCATGATACATTCGTGGACCTAGTGAAGACGTTGACACTGCAGATGTTTGGACGCAGAGGGCAGGCGCAAGAAAGGGCAAGTACGAACTTCGCCCTGGGCGTTGATATCAGCACCGCGCTTAACA